TCACAATTGTTGTTACAAAGGAGTCCATGGCTACTGTTATTGTACCAATCCATCTCATTTGGGGTCTTCCTCTTTTATGCTGACCCTCTACTTTATCAAGTATGACATCCTTCTCCAGTAACTGGTCTTTACTAATAACATGTCTGAAGTATGACAGACAAAAGTCTCATCATCCTGCTTCTAAGGAGCACTCTGTCTGTACTTCCAACACAGATTTGTTTTTCTGGCAGTCCATGGTACTTTCAATATTCTTCTCCAAAACTATTACTCAAATGCATTAATTCTTCTATGGTCTTCCTTATTCATTGTCCAACTTTCACATATGACGCAATGAAAATACCATGGTTAGGGTCAGGTGCATCATATTCCACAAACTTAGTTATCTTTGCTCTTGACTACTTTAAAGAGGTCTTGTGCAGCAGATTTGCCTTAGTGCAATATGTCGTTTGATTCCCTGACTGCTGCTTCCATTGAGTGTTAATTGTGTGTCCAAGCAAATAGAAGTCTTTAACAACGTCAATGTTTTCTCCATTTGTTATGATGTTATTTATTGCTCCAGAGTGAGGATTTTTATTTTCTATACATTGAGTTATAACCCGTACTCAAGGTTGTGGTCTTTGCATCAGTAAGTATTTTAAGTCCTCTTCACTTTCAGCAAGCAAGGTTGTATTATATACATATTGCAGGCTGTTAATGAGTCTTCCTCCAATCCCTATGCCACACTCTTCTTCACACAATTCAGATTCTCCGATTATTTGCTAAGCATACAGATTGAACAGGTAGAGTGAAAAAATACAACCCTGGCATATACGTAGGTACATTCAATCCAGATAATCCACATGAAGATTCATTTTTGTCTCCAAGTTTAGTGTTCTTAAGTAGTCAACCTATAAGAACTGTTAATAAGCAATGATCTTTGCATATTTAAATACAGAACATTTCCTTCTTTCCATCCTTGGGTGGAGCTGCTAAAAAGGAAGGAGACTGTGTGAACTGCCACCCACCCTTGCCCATGTTCATTGTTTCCAGGCTACCCCAAATCATTCACTCCCTAGCTGTTTACTGAGTGTTGATGGCTTAGGTATTGGGCTGCTAAGCACAAGGTCAGTGGCTCAAACTCACCAGCTGCTCCTTATGGAACTTACATACTGGTTGGTAAAATGAGAGGGGCAGTAACTACAAATGCATAAATGATAAGATTATAAAACATGTTTGGACGTGATAAGTGCTATGAAAAAGTTGATTGCACTTCAGATTCTGTGGCAAGCCTAGTTTTCTTTGTGATTGAATATGGCTGATGAAAATGCCCAGTAGCAGGGATAAGACTTGCAGTTTATAGAACATTTGACATCATCACCTTCAGTGGGATGCAGTAGATGTAGGCTAAGAGGTTAAGAGCCATGGCAATAAGGGAATAAACACGCTCACTAGAGCAGATTTTGCATGGGAAGTGTTGGATTGTAGAGCAATGGCCTGAAAGGTCCCCAGAATGGGTTTATGTATTTTGGCAAATACTTTCCATCACAAAGTCTGTGTTTGACTTATCATTATGCCAAATCCATCAGCTTCTTTGTCTAAAGCCAAAAGAAACAGTGTGGAGAGGATTGATTATTAATGTCTAGTGAACAGGAAAAGAATGTGAATGAAATTAGTATGAGGTTATCTCTAGGATTTGGCAAGGAGGAAGTAGGATACAAAAACAAATGCGTGAATGTGTCCTCAATCTTTATAATTCAAATGCCAGCATTTTTAAGAGGTAGACATATGGTAGAACATGCCTAACCTGGGAGTAAGCATACTTACAAGTCTGGTAGTGATGGTGGTTATGTGCCGTGGAGTCAGTCCTGACTCTTGCCAAGGCTGTAAATCTTTACTGGAGCAGAAAGCCTCATCTTTCTCCCATGAAACAGCTGGTAGTTTCGAACTGCTGACCTTGAGGTTTGCAGCCCGATTCGTAATCACTATGCTACCAGAGCTCCTTCTTATAGGTTTAGTGCTTTATCACTAATGTGAGCCTGCTTAATCCCTTTGAGAAGGCTCTTCAGGCACTGGTTTTCACAATGATAAAATGAGAAACCTGAATCACATTAACTTATTTTCAAGTTTTGGAACATTGTCCCGCGCCCCTTTTTTTTTTTTCTTGTTTCCAAGCAAACAATTGGGGAAGCTTATATATAAGAGATTTCCATGAAGAAATAATAATAAAATAGCTTGACTGGATCTGAAGAGCCTGTCATCTTCCCTTTTCATAACAGTAAAACTTTAGAGAATAACTTGGAAAACCTCTGGATCCAAGGATGTGTAAGATCTCTGCCAACTTGAACAGTTGAATTTTCTGGGCTGCTTGGTGCTAGGGGTTGAAGACTATCTAGAAATGTCTGTGATACACAGGGATTTTTATATCCTCCCTTCTTTTTTAAGATGAATTCATCAGATTAATTATGTGTGGTTAATTCTTTTGTCAACCCATTTTGTTTCTTGAAATTTTATTTTCTATTTTATAGATAATTTACATGGAGGACATTTTGAGATCCATTTTAATCAAGTGCGAGTTCCTGCCACCAATTTAATACTAGGTGAGATAAATCTGGAAAAGTGATTCTCCAGAATTATGTCTTAACATATTTGTAGGCCTGACTGTTGGTATACATAAGGTGTACAGCCTACCTTAATTTAGATACTTATCCTTTTCATTTATTTATTCCATTTATCAAGGAAGAATTTTTTTTTTTCCTATTATGTGGATTTCCTTATATAGAATAGTAAGGTTTTATTTAAGTTTGGGATGTGTTTTTGTACAGCATATCAATTGGCAACAAAACTAAATACATAAATCATGCAATTGAAGGAAACACGCTGTTTTCCTAAAACATGATCCCTCAAGCTGGCCCCTCTTTTATGAAAGCTTCATTGCTTTCTGGATTCAAGTTCTATATACAAGTTGAAAGCATAAATAACTTTGACATATAGCTGGAAGGACTCTACCTTCCTGCTTGTTGGAATCCTACCAGACCCTCAAAGAAGATTCTAGATGTCCTGCCTTTAGGGAGATTTTTCTGTTCCTTACCCAATCCAGACTCATCCATCTACTGAACAAGTTCCTGGCACCTGCCAGACCCTAAGGTTGCAAGAGGTAACTTTTACTCCTGTCTTTTCCTCCCTTGGCCTCTTCCTACAGCCCTGCTCCCTAGTATCCTTGCCCCATCTTCTGGACTTTACAGTGTCAGGGACTATGTCTTACCCACCTTTCTAACCACTATGACACTAAGACAGCAGCTTATGCATGGAAAGTACCCAAGAGATAGTTTTGGATTTGATTGATAAGAAGTTTAAAAACAATCCCAGAAATCAAAATTCCAATAAATGTATAATGGACCTTATAATGGTGGTGGTGGTGTGCCTAGTATCGAACTGACTTTTTTCCCTGTCAGAATGTGATTTTTATCCAGAACCATTCATTTTCCTGGGATTTATATCAATAACAAAAGGAATGAGCTCAGGCTCTTTCATGCCCTCCTTTCTTTCATAGGTGAAGGAAGGGGATTTGAAATTGCCCAAGGCCGCCTTGGACCTGGCAGAATCCACCACTGCATGAGAACAGTTGGTGTGGCGGAACGTGCTTTACAGATCATGTGTGAACGTGCAACACAAAGGGTGGCCTTTACGAAGAAACTATATGCACACGTAAGGATGACTGGTTTTTAAAATTTATTGTACCTCAACTCACTACACTAAACTTGAACAAAAACACTCTTACTTGGTCATAGGGAGATTTCGTCTACATGAACCAGGTAATTTTTTTCCTCATCAAAGTATATTCTGTCTGATTAAAATGTCTTATGAGAAGCATTTTGCTTTGTGAACGATCAGAGGTCTCCTGAAGTACTTCTGTGCCTGAGCACACAAAGCGTGGATAAGCCCTTCAACTTCCTCAGACTAGTTCTCTAGAGGATCTGGGCCATTGATGCTCTCTGTGGACACAGAGAAGGATGTCAGGAAAACAGCAGAATTGGATTTGTCATTTGGCTTGCCAGCAGGAATTAGGGCAAATGATAGGTAATAAATAGCATGGGAGAACCAGCTACAACTCAAAGGAGGAACATTCTGATAGACTTCTCAGAGTGAACTGCTTCAGAAGGATACTTCTGTCATGGGAGAACACAGGTAGAAATGGGCCCAACAGTTAGTGGGACTTTTCATGGATTCTGAATTCTTATCTATAAGTTTCATACTTTTGGGTCTGTCATTTACAGAGTACTTTAAACAATATAGTTATAGGTGGGCAATATAACTGAAGTTGGGAGATTATTTATCAAAAAGGAAAAGAAAGTATCATTTCAGATTTCCTTGAAGAGCTTTATAAGAACTGGGATATTCAAATATTCCCCCTAAAAAGTTATTCTCTCACCTTTCAGGTCTAGAGCTGAACTCGCCCTTGTGGTTCAATTTTCAGCTAAACAGTAGATAGGTTTATAGAGGAGAAAGCAACACTAGTGAGGTATACACACCATAGAATGGCCAACCAGTAGAGATCAAAAGGGCAGCATTTACCTAAGGACATGATTAAGAAAAGTTGGAGAAGAAGGAAGAATGGAAGCAAGAATCGCAGGGAGAAAGCAAGTTACGGGATGTCACATGGAAGGGATTTCAGTCCTTAAAAACTAAGTATGTGATTTGTTGAATGTAAAACCGATGATCTACTCTGTAAACCTTCATTTAATTCACAATGAAAAGTTTTTAAAAGTTCTTCTAAATTTTAAGAAGGCAAGAAAAATTATCGCTAAAATAGTTTTTGCTATTTTGAGAGGAGTTCTGGTGATGTAATGATTAAACATTTGGCTGCTAAATAAAATGTTGGTGGTTCAAACCCACCAGCTACTCTTTAAAAGAAAGATGAAGCTGTTTGCTTTCATAAAGATTACAACCTTGGAAACCCTCCTGGGACGGTTCTATCCTGTCCTATAGTGTTGCTCTAAGGAGTCCTGGTGTGGCGTTGTGGGTTAATGTGCCAGACTGCAGAGCCATTTGAACTGCAAGGTCAGCAGTTCAAGCTCACCAGTTGCTCCTTGAAACGCCTATACAGGGTCGCCATGAGTCAAAACCGACTCGATGGCACTTAACAACAACAAGTTAGAATCAACTTCACATCTGTGGGTTTTTTTAATGGAATTTACTATTGCTAGCATATTAATGTAAGATCAAACTTATGGTAATAGAATTATATTTGCTAGATGTGTATATTTTAGTGTATTAGTCCCTTTGTGTGCAGACAGCACATTCTTACTTGCTGTAAGTGAAGAGGACTTGAAGCATTTACTGATGAAGATCAAAGACTTTTAGCCTTCAGTGTATGGGTTATACCTCAACAAAAAAATCTCCACAACTGAACCAATGAGCAATATCATGATAAACAGAAAAGATGAAATTGTCAAGGATGCCATTTTACCTGAACGCACAATCAACACCCATGGAAGCAGCAGTTAAGAAATCAAACAGCACATTACATTGGGCAAATTCTGCTGCAAAAGATCTCTTTAAAGTGTTAAAATGCAAAGATGTAACTCTGAAGACTAAGGTACACCTGACCCCAGCCATGGTATTTTTTGTTGCTTCATATGCATATGAAATTGGGCAATAAATATGGAAGAACAAAGAAGAATTGATGCCTTTGATTTATGGTGTTGATAAAGAATACTGAATGTTCCATGGATTGACAGAAGAACGAACAAATCTCTGTTGGAAGAAGTATAGCCAGTAAGCTGCTTGGAAGTGAGGATGAGACTTTGTCTCATGTACTATGAACATGTGATCAGGAGGGGCCAATCCCTAAAGAAGGACATCATACTTGGTAAAGTAGAGGGTCAGCAAAAAAGAGGAAGGCCCTCAAGGAGATGGACTCATACAGTGGCAGCATAATGGTTCAAACCTAGGAACACGTGTGAGGATGGCACAGGACGCATCAGAGCTAACTCGACAGCACTTAACAATAACGACAAAGTACATTTGTAACTGTTCCATAAAATGTTAATTAAATTTTTTATCGTAAGTTCTTATAGGTTCATCTTCCTTTTTTGTGAACTATTATTCAGCTTATATATGATTTATTTGCAATATTTTGCTTCTGGAAAAATACAGCCAACTTTATGGCACCTGTAAAAAGGTGGTGTAGAAAGCATCTGACCTTCTCTAACTTTACAAGGGGGCAGGAGAACCAAGCTCCACATCAATCCAAGGTAATTCCTAGGAATTGACTGAGGTCAGACATGTTTCCATCCTCTTCCCTCCTTTGCCAATTCTGACACCAACTGTTCCTCACGCAGCATTCTCAACGTCTCACCTGGGTTTGATAAGTCATTGCAATGGCCACACAGGACTCACAGAACATACTCATAATTATGGAGTTTATTAGGAAGTTAAGTGCCACTGAGTCAGTTCCAACTCATAGTGACATTGTACACGGTCTCCAGGGAGCAGCTAGTGGGTTTGAACTGCTAACCTTGTGGTGTGCAGTCCAGTGCTGATCCTACAGCACCACACTAGTTGTTGTTGCTAAGTGTGTCGAGTCGATTCCGACTCATAGTGACCCTGTACAGGGTTTCTGAGGCTGTAAATCTTTACGGGAGCAGAAAGCCTCATCTTTCTCCTGCGGAATAGCTGGTAGTTTCGAACTACTGACCTTGCAGTTCGCAACCCGATTAGTAACCACTACACTATAGTAGCAGGTTACAATTCAGGATCAGAAATGTTCAGTATACAGTTCTTTGGTTAGGACAGCTTCTTTTCAACCTTATGCCTGCAGGCAGGTCTCTCTCTGATCCTCATCCTCTCAGTCATATGGTCCCATGGCCTCTGCCTTGCTTGGGCAATGTTAAAAGTTCTTTTAGAGCTGCTGAGAAATGCCCAAAGGTCATGGTATTCTGCCATAAGCTTCAGTCCAAAGGTGGTCAGCTCTAGCTCCACGGGTCAGCAAACATAGCTCCCCCAATTAAGTGCCTGGAGGCACCGCACTGCACAAGTGAGACTCTTACCTGCAGACTCCCAGCTTTATTTACTCTGTAGGCCAGGAAGCTCATCACTTTGTCTAGTGTTCTGCCTCTTGATTCTGCTACTGCTCCTCCTCTGACATTCCACGGCTTCTTCTATGGTGTCACAGCTTTCTGTCCCTGGAGCCAAATGGTTCAATGCATAAGTATCTCACAGTCCAAAGGACACACTCAATTCCTGACTCTTCTTTCCTGAGGGTAGTGAAGTCCCCCCCTACTGTTGCTGGAATAACTCATTTTAAACCAAAAAAGATAGCAACTTGACTAAACCTCACATTACAGTTCCAAGTGTTTACAATCTCAATTAGCCCTGTTAATAATCTTTCACAATGGAATCCCATAGTACTATTAGCATCTTCCCCCACATTCTTTTACCCAGATGCCTCCAGAAAAGAGAAGATACACCCAATAAATATGGTCCCACTCAGTCATTTATTGGGAGTTACAAAGACTATGGCAAAAAGAACTATATTAAGTAATTCACCATACTGCAGCCTCCACATGTAAGAGTAATTTGTGGGGAACGATTATAATATGCAACAAGGACAAAAGTTTGGCTTTTGGGTGTGGACTATGGCAGACGAGTAGATGCAAACATTGAAGTCCTGGATACAGCCCATGTTGCTGCTGATGTAGGGCTAAAGAGTTCCGTGTGGCACCAACTAGCACTGCTTAGCCTTGTCTCTTTTCAAGATTGCCACCAAACCCTGCAGCAGGGTGACAGAAGGACACAGTAAGTGGAGGGAGCAGCCATCTTAAACACATAGAAGCATTCAGAGCAGCTTTCACGAGTGATGTTCTCATACTGTGCCGGATGACAATGATTTTCATAGAAACTTCCCTCCTGCATTTTAAAATTAATGTATCATGGAGAACAAGTATGGGCTTCTCAAAAACATGCCTCTCTTCACTGGAAACTTCTTGTATCTGTCACAAAGGAAATGATTTGGCAGAAGCAAGAGAGATGTATGTACATGTCATAAACAAAAATCTAAGCCAGGTTTTTACATCCTTTTTTTTTTTTTTAAATTCATAAGAGTAGCATTCCATTTCCCTGAATTGGGAGACTCCTTCCAGCTGCCTTACAAACTTTTCCAGACTCTAAAGCCAAAAAAAAGACAAAGTGGGTGTGACCATAAGAGGGTCACGAGGGATCCTTCTGGTGATGAAAATGTTCTGTATCTTGATTCTTTCAATACCCTGATGCTGATATTGTACTATCATTTTGTAAGGTATTACTGTTAGACAAAACCAGGTAAAAGCTACTGATAACACTCTCAGTGTTATCTCTTACAGCCACTGCATGTGAATCTGCAATTATGTCAAAATAATAAGATTTATTTTTTAAAGTGAAAATTGAAAAAAAAAAAAAAAAGGTCTAGGTCAAAGTTTTTCTTGTAGTAAATAAGTGTGTCAGTTTATTTAAAGTATTTAGATTACACCCACTTAACAATTTACAGCAAATGTAGGTTCCACAGAAAGCCAACTAAGAACACTGTCCTTTATTTTCAAACTGAGAAGGAAATGAACGTTGAGCCTGCTCATGCTGTTATCATTAACCAGTTTTATAGCTGTCAAGAACGGACTTATGGACTATAGGCGGCTTGTTTGGAGTTCTTTCAGAGCTTGCAGGGAAGGGCT